GCAGCGCGATTAAAACTGCAGAATGTACATTATGTGGAATTAATGCGGTTAATGTAAAAAATATAGTACAAAACAATTTTTGATTGGTGAAAAAACAGTTAACGGTTCAAAAGAACCGATCGCGGTAATTACATAAACAAGTGCGATATTTGGAAAATCCATTGTTTAAAAAAATGTAAACAGCTTAAATGTTACTCCATCCGTTTTTTAATATAAGATGTTTTAAGACTCTTTTTTTTTGTTTGAAAATATATGATATTTTCAGAAATCAATGCAAATTTATTAATAAATGATTTATTTTACTCTTAAATTAATTGGTAATCAAACAAACAAATACCATATCCGTTTTTTATTAGATGATATTTTAGAGTTTGTTTTTTTGTTCCAAAATATAAGATATTTTTAAGTTTTTATGCAAAGAATAATTGTGTTTTTATTGTTTTAACTGTTTTAATTTTGAATCGTATTTTTCTATTGGTTGAAACTGTTTTGAAATTGACAAAAGATATGTTTTGTTTTGAAAAAAAGAAAGAATTAAATAATTTCTTAATATGTGTGCATATTTTTAAAACATCATCTAATAAAAAATAGAGGCAGTAATAATAAATAGGATTATCATAAATATTTTACAAGTTTTCTTAATCTATATGTCCAACTCTAAAATATTTTATATTTAAAAGCCGAGAGAGTATCTCTTTGGAAAATGCAAATTATCAAAAAAAATATGAGCTGACTTGAAAGCGGTTTTTGAAAAACGCATCTGAAATACACATTCACTTTGTTTTAATGTAATATAATCTAGTTTTCGGAACTGTGATGGTTCCGAAAACACAACAATATAATCTAGTTTTGTCTCTGCTTAGTTAAATTAGTTTTGTCTCTGCTTAGTTAAATTGGATCAATATCTGTTAGCTAAGTTTCTAACATAGAATAGACAGTATCGTTACAACTAATATAATATTTCAATTAATAGAGGAATATGCTCGCACATACATTGAACCTGGAAAAAAACTTTTAAAAAAGTTAAAAATAAAGCCATATCGACAAAAAAACTTTACAAGAAAATGAGAGATCACATGCTTTTCTCTCGACAAAAGTAGACATTACGTCTCGATGTGAGTATATATAATGGAATTTTACACAGACCAAACGGAATAATTTCCTTACTCATGAAAGAATATCATTTAAGATTTTGAGTCACTATACATTCTCCCTCAAATTCCGTAATAACAATTTGTATGTTTCTTTTAAAGAAAAGGAAGAAGACTAGAATATTTTGAAGTACGTACTACTGAATATTGTAATGCCTCATCTACATCATAAACAAAGATTTAAAACATTAAGGTACATATTAGCATAAAATAATAACAATTACAAAATCGTAACAAGACAGAAATACATCAAGATGTACAGACGTATCCATTGGAGTCATCTTTCCCACGATTTTGTGAATTGTTGAAATGAGTTATGTACTTCCGAATACTCGTTTCCTTGGCAAACGTAGTACTTCCGAATACTCTTTTCCTTACCATGTAGAATATAATAAAATATATATATATATATATATATTTTGTCATCAGACTTAATTACTATGATTTAAATAACCAAATCGATAAAATTGAGTTTACATAATAAAAATAATAAAAAAATAGAACAAAATATATTATTAAATTATTTATGTTGATTATACAAGATAATAAAATACATCTATATAGTGTTAACATTAACATATTATTACTACTATATAATATAAACTTTATTAATCTAAATCTAACACATTTAATATAACGTCTTGGTATTCAAGTCTTTCCATTTAGTCTTTATAGATTTATATAGACGGTCCATAAAATATATATCTTGTGTTCCAAGTTACTCTAATACTTATTGATCGTTCTTCTTTACCATAACATCTTGGAAGTTTAAAATTCATAATAATATTCATAAAATGTGTAAGGCGTCAAGAAAATGAGCGAGAGTTTATAATTATAACCAATTCTCACGTGAAGCGAATGCAAACTTATTAAGTGAGATATACTAGTACATTTACGGAACATGTCAAAGACATTATTAGTTGAAGCCTTGGAACAAACAATTATAAATAATCAAAAATCAGGAAATAATTAGTGGTTAGAGTAGAAAATTATTGGAAGAAAGAATTTGGTAGTAGATACGATGGACCAATAAGGGAAAATCTCATACCGTATCTCCATTAATGACACTGGTCTTGTCTTAAATCTACAATTTGGCTTTCACTATTTAGACAAAAGAATCTTACTCCCTCTTAAGAACACTTTTCAACACTTGTCTACTCTAACAACTAATTATTTAATTATTTAAACACTTAGGAGGAAGCTTACGCGAAGCTCTCCTTTGGCATTGGAACATGTGCGTCGTTTTTGTGCGGTACACGACTTATGTACGGCTTAATGTATTCCATTATTTTTTTTGTATAGAAAAAACGTTTTCCATTTTATCCTTTAAATTTTCCTATTTCGAAGACGATTTTTGTAAAAAACGTCAAACTAAAGAGACTTTATTTCGACATACAAATATTTTCTTTTTCAGTTTGAGATGTTATTGTTGTATATAGGTATTATGCATATTTAATTTTATCATATTTTCTAGTTTACTGTGTCGCTCTAGAATAAACAAAAAAAAAGATTTTTATCATTTTCTCAGTCTTTTAAAACTGTATTAGTCTAATATTTAAGAATATTGATTCTCATCATCTTTTTTTTTTTCTTATTTTATGGTTTACTATCATATCATAAGATTTATTGGATAGTTCGGATCAAACATATGTATTGTAAAATTAATTGGAATGCGAATAGTTTGACTAAATAAGTTTTTTATTGTTGTAGAATTGTATTTGTTAGAATGAATATTGGATATTGTTAAATCAATTATGATAAAAGATATAAATGGATCAATAAAACCGTGACAAATTCGTATATAATTCGAGTTATTATTTTAATAAATTGTGCATGTTTCATCACTTGACAAAAAAAAGAAACATTGATTGTTTGATTGGTTTGATTTGCAGTTTATTATTTTAGTAAATTAGCTAATTTGTTTTTAATTTTGGAATTAAAAAGTTAGTGAAAGAAAAAGGAGAGAAAAAATAAAAGAATGAGTGGGTTACCGGCAGGTGAGGAAGTGGCCGTTAAAGGAATAGAGCACAGTAGTTTATACAGCCTGTCTTGATGTCTTCTTTCATTTTAAAATAATTTATTACTTTTGTTCAAAAAAAGTAATGACGATCGGCTCTCTGATTCGCAACCCGTTTTGTCGTTTTCTGTTACGTCATCATATTATTGTTTTTTTTGCTGTATGGTTTTTATATCCGAAATAACTGATTTTTTTATATAAAAGAGTAATAATTATGGCAAACAGGCTGGCTTCATCAGTCAGAAAGTCTGAAGAATCCAACAAAAATATTTATAGGCTTATAGTTAGACCTAAAGCCTTTTATTTCATCCTTATCTTCTTCTTTTTTTTTTTTTTTTTATACTTCAAAATCGATTACACATTAGCATGATACATACATTTTTGTAATATTTATTTTTACAGATAAATGAATATATAAATTCATTTTTTTTTGTTTATGACGTTTCAAATTCTTTTTTTACAAACATATTTTCTATATTATTTGGAGAATATATATATGTATTATAATTGGAGTATATGTTATTATTATATTTTACTTGCATACAAATTATGTAAAATATTTTGCTTATATAGTTATAGTTTTTTTTTGTTAGGTTATATTTAGTGTTTGATATTACGTTTGTAGTTTTTTTTGTAGAATTTGAATTTTTAAAATCAATTTTTGTTGTTTTTATTTTTGGAGCATAAACAAAAGAAAAAGAAACAGGTTTTTTAACCACTTGAATATAAACTTCTAACTTCGAACAGGTGATAAATCAGTTTTCGTTTTTTGAAAACGAAAAGCTCAACAAGAAACTATAATCATTCAAAAAGTATTGATGGATACTTACTTATACGTTTCTAATAAGTGTGTGTAAACACAAATTATAAATGAGTTATACGTTTTGATTAAGCATGTTGTCACAAATTATAAATGAGTTAGAATTTAATCAAAAATTTCGAAAAAACGACGGTTTGGGTCAGCGTCAGATCTTTTAAATTGAAAACGAAATTTCTTCACACAAAAGGAGGAAAACAAAAACTGAAAAAACGTAATGATTGGCATAAAAACGCTCCACCTGTGAAACGCTCTCTAGTACCACAAGTACTATCACTTGCCACGTGTACACTTACAGCTGTATCCCAAATCCCCAACCGTTTTCCTGGAAGATTCTCTCTTGATTTTAACGTCGCACAGACGCATTTCCGCCAATCGCACCGCCAATCGCTGATGTGTCTTTTTAGAAAATTCAAATACGTTACAATCATTACAAGCCGGTGTGTTATCAGACTACTCACGTTACATCTTCAAAGGCATAATTACATAACTAATCCAAGTCAGAGTTAAAACTTAAAAGAAACTTAATTATTTAATTATATTTAAAATTCAAAGAAAGTGTTATTTTAAATACAGGATTTTATGCACATTAAATAAAACATTTTCAATATTTTATCATCATCCTTACAAAAAAGTATTTGGCGTTTGAATTTTCTTTTGTTTTCCATGTAATGAGTTTTGAATTTCTTTTATGTTTTACATTACTCTTAATTGGAATTAGGACAAAAGAAAATTCTGGGACTCTTGAAACAGTACTCTATATTTTATACCAAAATTTTTAAAAATAGAATATAACATTTATAGTTAACATATAAATTCAAAATTTTAAGCTTTTTGTTTTTGTTTTTGTAATTCAAAATTTGAAACTATAAACTGCATAATTTTGTCAGTTAAAAAAAAAGAAACGGAAAACGGAAGTAATATTTCCTCGTTAATTAACGAGAGAAAGTTACCCGTAGAACCGGTGACCCTTCTAACCATCACATCTCGTATAAATACCCTCTCCTCTCTCACACTTATCCTCTCAAAATCGTTTCTTCTCCAAAAACAAAAACAAAGAAGAACGCGTTTAAAAGGTTTCGATTAATTTTGAAATAGAAAAAAAGATCCGACGATGTCTGGTTCGACCCGGAAAGAAATGGATCGGATCAAAGGTCCATGGAGTCCTGAAGAAGACGATCTATTGCAGTCGCTAGTTCAAAAGCACGGACCAAGGAACTGGTCTCTTATAAGCAAATCGATTCCTGGACGTTCCGGTAAATCTTGCCGGTTACGGTGGTGCAATCAGCTTTCTCCGGAGGTCGAGCACCGTGCTTTTTCGGCGGAGGAAGACGAGACGATCCTGAGAGCTCACGCGCGGTTCGGTAACAAGTGGGCGACGATAGCTCGGCTTCTCAATGGTCGCACCGATAACGCCATTAAGAATCATTGGAACTCGACGCTGAAGCGGAAATGCAACGGCGGCGGCGGCGGCGGTGGTGGTTGGACGTCCGACGAAGGACAGAGTTGTGATTTCGGTGGAAACGGAGGTTATGACGGTAATTTAACGGATGAGAAGCCGTTGAAACGGACGGCGAGCGGAGGCGGGGGAGTTGTGTCGACGGGGTTGTTTATGAGCCCTGGAAGTCCATCGGGATCTGACGTCAGCGAGCAATCTTGCGGACCTGTTTTGCCGTCCTTTTCTCACGTTTTTAAGCCGACGGCGAGAGCTGGCGGAGTGGTGATTGAATCGTCGGCGGCGAAAGATCCGGCGACTTCTCTGAGTTTGTCTCTCCCTTGGGTCAACGAGTCAACGGGGAGAGACACGGCAGAGCTATTTCCGGTGAGAAGAGAAGAAGCAGAGGAGAAGGAGAAAGGGATTTCGGGATTTAGTGGGGATTTTATGACGGTGGTGCAGGAGATGATTAAGACGGAGGTGAGGAGTTACATGGCGGATTTACAGCGAGAAAACGGCGGCGGGGGAAGCTCGTGTATGGTGCAAGGAGCCAATGGTCGCAATGTAGGGTTTAGAGAGTTCATTGGGATAGGGAAGATCGAGTAAGTGAGTGAGAGAGAATGAAGAAGAAATAATTAAAATTTTAGAAAGAATCAGATTGGGAGAGATGAATCGAAAATCGTTTTTCCATTCTGTTATTTTCCCGAGAAGCAAATGTTGAAATGTACAGAGAAAAAAAGCACAAAGCAGAGCTCTATGAGATTGTGTAACAATGAAAAGCAAGTGCAGAGAAAAAAGCTACTATTTTCAGACTCAATTCATTTCGAAGACATGATTATATCATTTTATTGTCACTATACATATGTGCATTATTTTTCATCACTGTAAAAGAGTTACTCCACCGTAATGTGCAGTGCTTATGAGATGTATCCTTCTTCCATTATGACGACGACGAAGGATCGTTTAAACCGCGTATTGAGTTAAGACACACGAGAAGCGTTCCACCTTCATGCAACAGTACCTGTTATGTCCCAATTCAAAGAAATGGCTCAATACAAAGATTATAGATACTGTTTTGAAAAGCTTTAGAGATTATAGCTTCTTGGTTACCGTTAAGCATAAAGGAAGAAACCCGAGAACTGATGAAAGAGCGGCTAAAAATATCGAGGTTAACGCAATAGCCACGTTTTGCTTGACCTGCAAAAATGATTAATAATCTTAAATTTGGTTTAATTAAGGCTTTTTGTTAGTATTATTATTATTATTATTACCAGTGATGTTGTTTGGCGGGATTTGGCGATACAGAAGGGAACACCAGTGATGTCATCTCGAAGAAGTAGTACATCAGCAACGGCTATAGCAGTTCCACTCGCACGTTGAGCAAGAACGATCCCTACGGTTGCAGCCGCTAAAGCCGGGCCATCGTTAATACCTTCTCCCACCATGATCAATCCTCCACCTGAATCTCTTGAGATGTGTTTCACATGATTCAGTTTGTCTTCTGGTTTTAGGTTGCAGTAGACTTCATCAATACCCACGGAATTTGCAACTCTCAAAGCACTTGACTCATGATCTCCTGTTAACATCATTATCCTGAGTCCACCCCAGCTTTTCAGTTCTTTTATAACTTTTGATACCTCTGGACGAGGCTGATCTTCGAGGTGGATCAACGTTACCTAAGTACAAAAAAGTTGCAATCTCATTAGTCAAGTCTTTAAATCAAGAAAGGGTTTTGGTCAAACTAAAGAGTATATACCTTTTGATCAAGCGAAAGAACAGCATGAACAAAGTCATTTCCGTACAGAGAGGAATTTACAGCGTCCTTGATCTTTCGAGGCTCGTCTTGTGACTTGAAGAGCGAAGTAATGAACTCTACTGAACCAAGTGACGCTTTCTGCAGTTTACTATCTTCGGTTACCGACTATATAACAATGAAATAAAAGTTTTAGTGAGAGAATTGATTACTGAAAGAGACAGAATCAAGTAAATAATCTGCTTCCACCTCAACACAGTTAACTGTAGCGGTAAGTCCTCTACCAGGAAAATACTCAAAGCTTTCAACAGAGACAGAAGGGAGATCCTTCCCAACACTGTGGTCTACCATGGCTCTGCAGAAATGTTAATGACTCGTATAATGCTATAACTTGAGATAACTAAAGCCGTATAAGAAAAGTGATGTTTCAAAAGCAGTACCTTCCAATAGGATGCGTGGTACCTTTCTCCATAGCAGCTGCAACGGCTAATGCTTCTTTTTCACAGTTTGGCATACAACAAGGAGTCACACTCGCATTATTTACTGTTTCATGCCCATAAATGGGTTCAATTGCTTTGCATGTAAGGCCTCCGGTTGTTAAGGTCCCGGTTTTGTCAAAACCAATAGTATGGCAAGACGCTAGAGCATCTAGTACTTGTCCACCTTTCAGCAATATTCCCTATAAAAAGTGCACAGATACATCTCCACAGCTCAAAAGATGAAACATGTATGAAGATAAATTTCAGTTTTCGCGCAAGCCTCAAGGGTTAATCTGAAAAGCTTTCATCTCAGAGACTTAATCAAAACTGAAATGTGTACAAACCAATTCTCAGAAAGCAAACTACTTTAATCAGCCGTGACTAGATAGAGTACCTTCCTGGCACATGAACTGATAGCAGTAGCATAAGCCAATGGAGCAACTGCTAAGGCACACGGTGATGCCGCCACCATAAGTCCTAATGCTCTGTAAACAGATCCTCTACATGCTGCATATCACCAAACAGTAACCAAACCCATAGCAAGTCAGTAGTCGAAACCCATCTCAGGTTAATTTATCAGATCACTACACATACCTGTGGTGCCGAGAAACGGCCATTTGAACAAAACTGGGCCAAGGAAGGCAATAGCAACTGATAAAACAACCACCACCTTGCTGTAAACCTCACCAAACTCATCAAGCCATCTCTGAAGTTTGGGTTTATTAGAGTTTGCTTCCTCAGTCAACTGAAGAATCCTATTTAGTGTCGACTCATTCCACGCCTTTGTAGCCTGATTATAACAGACCATATGAAGAAATATAAGCCTGAGAGTTCCAAATCACGCAAGCGAAACCAAATTATATTTACCTTCACAATGATTCTGCCATCTAAGTTTCTTGCACCACCAGGCACTCTATCTCCAGCTTTTGCCTCCAATGGCTTCACTTCCCCAGTTAAATGCTCAATTGTAATGGTTGCATTACCTTGATAGACTTTACAATCCACAGGCACAATCTAAATACAAACAAAAAACCTGCTTTTAAAGCTGCTAAATGTATTAAGAGTTCAAGAACATCAAGAAACCGAAATCAAAAGAGATAGGATTTTCACAAACCTCACCAGTTCCTACCAAAATATAGGAACCAACTTCTACATTGTGCACATGGACGCTTTTGTATGACAAATCGAAGAAGTTTGGAGCATTATCATTATCCACATCAATCACCATTGCAGACTCTGGATTACTCTCCTTCAACTCTTTTACATCCACCATCGACCGACTAGTGAAGAACTCCTCAGCTGCAGCAAAACAATGTCACAGACTCACAATGCAACAAATTGAGAAACTTTTAAAATCACAAGTTTGTACCAATATGAGCAAGATTGAACATGGCTAAAAGCAATCCTCCTTCAAGAGCATTTCCCATAAACACAGATGCAAAAGCTGCTAGTGCCATTAAAACATGGATGTTCACTTTTCCTTCAGCTATATCCATAAGTGCGTCGAGAGATGCTGAAATCTAACACCACGAGAGAAAACGATTCTTCGTTTAGCAAGTAAGCTTCGTGTTGAATTCGACGAAGAAAAAGAAGTTTAGAGAAAGCGAGGATCCTTACTCCAACAAGAGGGAAAGCGGCAATCATCATGGAATTCTGAAGAGGTTTAATGTAGGGTTTAGGGATCAAGTAAGGACAAGCGGCGGCGGCGATGAACAGTACGGCGGAGGAACAGCAGAGATGGAGATTCTCTCTGAGGAAATTGGCCAATCGAATCCATCCAATAGCTTTAGCGAACTTGATCAACACTTTCTGAGGATAATTCGACACCGTTAGTCCCACAGAGCAGCAATGTCGGTGATGGTTATGATTGTGATCGTGCTCGTGGTGATGATGATGGTGTTGGTGATCGTGAGTGTGGCTTTCGCAGGCCGCTTTCGCCAGTAGACGAATTGATCGCCGGGGAAGACGAAGAGAGCCAGAGGTACGAATCGGAAGATCTCGTGGATTGAGGAGAGTGATAGGTTGAAGAAGTAAGAAGGATCGGAGAGAGGCTTTCCCATGACGACAAGGGAATCTGGTAAGAGATGAAGAATGTATAAGAGCAGCTTGTTCCATTGCCGAGGATTTGAGCTACTCTGAATTAAGTCGCCATTGATTCTGATCTGGCGGAGCTGAAAGAAGAAGAAGAAGAAGAAGAAGAAGAAGAAGAAGAAGAAGAAAAGGAAGAAGAAAAAGAGAGCCATTGAAAGTATACGAACTATGTTGTAATGTGGCCTCATTATGATCTCATTTATTGACTTGTTTCTCTCTGCTTTGTTTTGTTACCAAAATTTGTCATGATTTTAAAATAATTTTTTTTATAAAATCCTAGATATTATTTGACATCTTTACTAAAAATAAATGATGTGTTAATATTTTAAGAAAAGTAAGTGCAAAATAATATTATATTATAAATGTGATATGATAAATTTTTTAAAATAAACTAAATATTTTGATTAGTTAAGTTAAAATTAAATAAATCTTATTTTCAAATAAAAAACAAAAAATTCATATATTATATAGTAAGAATTCAAAATTATAAATGAAAAAAAAACAGAAAAATAAATTATAGTATCCACTTACCTAATTTCTTTTTATTATAATACTATATATATGAATAAAAATAGAAGTAAAAGTAAAAATGAATCTTTACAACTTTGGTTTTATGTAAAAAAACTCAAACTATATTTTTGGTTTAAAACATCTCCACCCTATCTTTATTTTAAATATCCAATTTAGAAAAAAAAAGTTATTACTTTTTCTCCAATTTTAGAGGAAAAAATAATAATATTTTTTCCTCTAAAATAGAAATAGGTTGAATAGAAGTCAACTTATATTTTAGAAAAAAAATAGAATAATACATTGGAGATGATCTTAATGCTTAATATATTATTAGAGGTTAAGAAGAAAAAGTATGAGTCAAAGAAGACAAAAAATAAATAAGAATAATTTTGATTAATTTTATGTTTTTATTTGAAATATTTAAAAAGACTTATCTTCCACATATTAATGTTTTCATGCATATATATTTCAAACATATTAAAACATTATTTCATGAATCAAGTTTTGTATATGTTGTGATCCATTATATTATATATTAAAAAAATATTAAAATTAGGAACAGATCAACTCTTAATTTTTAATATAACAATCAAATATTAAATATTTTTTTTTTACATTTTAAATCAAACACATACAAGTTTATATCTGATAGCTTAAACGATTTATAACTGTAAAAACTCAAGTCCGACTTATAGAAGAACTAGAGTTTGAGGGTTTTAAAGAGATCTTTTTATTAGAAGAAGCCGGAGCTTAGTTGAATACAATGATGTTTAGGTCGTCGGAATAAGAACGTCGACCTAAAACTTTCAGGAAAATAAACCAAAAGCTAGAACAGTCTGATTGCTTAGTTTGCTCTAGGTCTTGATGATTTTTCCGATAATTGAGAAGTCGAGGACTTTCTTTATTTATAGCCGATCAGGTCGGTCTTCAACCTGTTCGGAATAGGAAACTCTTGTCGGTAAAGAGTTTCATTCCGGGTCGCTCGATAAATGGAAGCTTTCCTTTTATGTTGCCGACTTGGAAATTGTTAAATGGGCCGACTAGGATTCATATCGGGCTTGTTAGAGACGGTACGAATCTCATCTCTAACAGTAAGTCCCCCCCCAGTTCGGCAAGTGAGGATGCATTGCTTGTCGAATTTAAAGAAATGCTGCTCGATGTGAATTCTGGTCGGCTGCAAAAGAGTTAGAAATATAAATGAAATTTATTACCTGGATTTCTGGTCGGCGTGGTGATGAGGGCCAGATTGTGATTTCGGGCGCGAAAAGTTCCCGCCTAAAAATGATATAGGCCAGGCTAGGCCCACGCATGCAGAACTAGGGTTGACACGTGTCAAACCCTAGCAGATAAAGGCGAAGAGGCCGATTAAAATTTAATAAGAAATGTGGAGAGTCGCCGTGCTCATGATGATTCTTGATAACCGTCCAGATATTTCTATAAATAAGAGGGCTCGGCTTCAATTTCCTCACTTCTGCATTTCTAGAGAAACTTTGTCAAATTCAGGTTTGCTCTCCCCCCTCTCCTTCGTTTTTCTTTTGTTTGGATTTTTAGTTCTGCCGACTAGACCTCCGTCGTGTTTCGTTCTGAACGCCGATCAAGCATGGGAAAGAGTATTCAAATCAGGGAAAGACGACCAGGCTCAGAGGAAATCAGATCGGCATCGAAGAGAGCTGATGACCAGGTCGATAAAAGCCGATCGAGGGGAAAACGGGTCGTCGTTGAGGAATCTGAGTCGGATCGGTCCTCGGATGCGAGCGAGTTATCGGTGTTGGATCGTGCGTTCCAGGAATGCGTTCGAGGGATGAACCAGCAAGCTGCGGCCGATCGGTTCCACGCCGATCAAGTTGGAATCGTCCAGAGGTCTGGGGAGACATCGTCCAGGGTCGAATTCGAGATTCCAGAATTGCGTGATGAAGACGATGTGAGAGGCGGGTCGAACGAGATGGATATCTCGGACGAACTAAACGCCATTATTGTTGAAGACAAGTGAATCAGTTCAGAATTGTTGACATGAATCCGCCAGTGGAGAAGATTAAGAGGCGAAAAGGAGAGTTGACAGTTAAGCCGATCTGTGACAACGCTCTCGGGGTGATGCCAACCAAATCAACCATGGAATCACTGGTCACCTTGAAGAAAGAATGCGACATCGGTCCTGAGGTGATCTTCATGGTTCCGAGTCCGTCGGAGCGACCGTGGGATGCTCCTACAGGATGGCTATGTCTGCACGAGTGTTTTTTCACGGACTTCCATCTGTGGTTCCCACTCCCGAGGCTTCTTCTAGAATTTTCTGCCCACAAAGAAATGCCGATCAGCCAGTTTACCCATGCGACAATACGACTGATTGTCAGCATGCTAGTGATGTCGACCAGGCACGATATCCCGTTGAGTCGAGCAGCATTCGATGCTATAACGAACACCTGTCGCACGAAGGCCAATTTGAGGAACCGGGGTTCATATTATACGAGTATGAAGACTCGATAAAACATCGTGACTGGCGGTCACAAAACCAAGGTGGCAGACTGGAGTGATCGGTATTTCCTTGTGTTAATCAACGAATTTTCTATCGCCGAGGCAGATAGAGATATCCCGATCAGAACGAAATGGGCGGAGGTCATGGGTAGAGACATGATCGACATGCAATACAGCATAACTTGCTATTTTTGTTTCTGATTGAATCTTTTTATCTTTCAGGAAACAGGCCTCTTCCATTCGTCGACGATCCTCTCGATATCTCCAATCAATTCGCTGCGATTAGCGCGATCACTTGGCCCGAGATCACAGAAGAAAAGATTGCGAGGACAAGAGGTTCGTTCGATCTGACTCTTTTACTTAAACCTGCTTTGACACCCGGGGGCTTTCCATTCGATCTCTTTTTTTAAAATTCATTTCAGTTGCGCTTGAACGACGCTCCCGCCGACGAGAGAGGATGAAGTCTGTCACTTTCAAGGATCTGTCTGCCGATCTGGAAACTGCCCTAGTGTCTCCCGATGTTCGGAATTCAGAGAATCCTGTGGCTAGGGAAGCCGAGCAGGAGGCTCTGAACAAGGTTGAGAGGGACGCAGCTAAGGCTAAGAAATCGGCCGATAAGAAGGCCGCTAAGAGGATTGAGAAAGCTCGTAAAGAGACCGAGCAAGGGCAGAGGAGGAATGACGATCAGGGTCATATCGTCGTATATGGGGCTGAAGGCGGTGATGGAAGCCCTATGAACCTGAAGAAGCGGAGTTCGGAAGAAAATTCTGAACCGCGGACGTCCAAGAGGTCTCGTGCTGAGAGGCAACTACGTCCGACGAGTACCGCGGGGATAGCCCAATAGTGCACGATTCGGTGTCATGCTTAGATTATTTCCTTAAGCTGAGGGACAATCCGGCAGGCCCACCTACTGACCCTCGCGGGTACATTCGCAGTGATGCGATTGCACGTTTTGCGCATGAACAAGCTAAGGTAGAAAATATCCTGGGTGCTTTTTTTTTTGTAGGCCTTCTGTATTTGAAATGTCTGAATGTTGATTTTTTTCTGGTGAATACAGGCTCTGAGTACGGTGCTGACTGCTGTGAATAAGTACGACCGGGACGCGAAGAAGTTCCTGGCCGTGGAAGCTGAAGTGGAGAGTCTTAAGGAAGCTCTCGAGGCTGAACGGGGAAGAAGGGCCGAGCTGGAAACCACGCTTCATAAATCTTCTGAGGAACTTGAGAAGGTTCGCGCCGATGATGCTGAGAAAAGTAAACTTCTCAATCGAATGGCGAAGAAGATTCAGAAAGAGAGAGCCGATTCTCAGAAGAAGCTGGAGGTCGAACTGAAAGCTGCGGCTGAAGAGAAACTTGCCTTCGGGCAAGAAGTGGCAAAGCGCGCGACGATTGCGGTGAACAATCATTATGCGAGTGTAGTAGCAAAGGTGAAGAAATCACTCGCACAGAAAGCGAAAGCCCACGAGTTGATTTCGACGGCTGCTCAGTGGATCGGAGCTAAAAAAGCGCTTGAGATCGTTCGTAGGCAAGGTTACAGCTTTCCGGCCCTGGTAGAGGAGAACATCGAGAATCTGATTGGCAAGAGTAAGGCACAACTGGAGGCCTTTGAGGAAGTCAGCTTCACGCCGGACGAACTCCAAGTTCAAGAAGCGGAAGTTTTCCTTGAAGTTTCCAGTGATACTCAGCTCGATGCGGCTAAGGCTCTGGAAGGGGCCGACCAGGAAAAAGAGCTAGAAGTCGATCAAGATGGCGTTAACGATGCCGACCATGTTGGCAGTCAAGAGGCCGATAAGAAAGAGGAAAGAATCCGGGAGGAGGCCGAAGACTAGGCCCTTTAAAAAATTACAAAAAATATTCTTGTAATTTTCGTACTATGTAATCATGTGCCGTTATGGCTTTATTTAAATGAAAGTTTTTTTTTTTTGAAAAACTTAGCATTTGAGTTTGAAAATCTGAACACAACGGCGATGTGATATCGGCTTAAGTTTGTGCGATTTAAATTTCTAAGTATTAAACGAACAAACGAATTAGATAGGCACGAATTCAATACTTAGAAAATTTCGTAAGTCGAATACGAACTGCGATCAGTTCGGCTTACATATTCCGTATGGCTTACGAATTGCAGTGCGGATTCTGGCTTGTATACTGAAGTGTGAATACGAACGTGCGGGAGACCCGGCTTACTATTGTTCATACCACTTCTCTTCTAAG